TCCCTTCCACCCCAAATATGCAGTTTGTTTTGAGGGAACCAAATAATTGGTGATTGCATACAAATCACCAGCTTACCAGACACCTGTCCTGCCCCCTCGCTTTTCTCACTTAACCTTGGAGCTTGTTCCAAATCAGTGCTCAAAGCTTCCTTATTCTGGATTATAACTGTGTAGTATCCCACTACCTGGAGCCATCAATTCCTTTAATCTACTGTGGACATGTAGTTTATTTCCATTTAGTTTCCAACTCCATCTCCCTACTCTTTGAGCCAGTATGGAAAACACACAAATTTCTACTAAAAAAAGAACTCAGAAGGATGCAACATCGCACTTCTGAGCCAAATTTGACTTAGGTATTTTGTTTGGCCAACACCAAGGTTTTAAACATTTTTCTGAATTAGTCAACAATATTTAAAAGACAGAAAATTCAACTTAAAAATCCGAATTGCTAGTTCCTCTTGAAAAAAACATAAGATCTGGACATAGCAGCCTATGTTCCAATGAAACTATCGGCAGCAGCTGAGTGGAGCAGGGGGCACGGCAGTGTTCCTGTCTAAGCCTATCATTCCAGGAGGAACCACTGCCCTTCATGGGCGGTATCCTAAAGGCGGTGGTATGCCTTCAATTAAGGACCAAATGAGGTAACGAACAGAAGCGCTATCCATTCATTAGGTGCCTTTATTGAGCCTCAGTGAACAGAAAGATGCCGTGTTGCCCTCACAGCACATTCACATTAAGACCCGAGACCACTGACGATAAGGGAACTCGGAGAGCAGCGCTGGCCCTGGCCCTGCTTTCGGAGGCGGTGGAGGGGCGGCCTGAACGCATGAAGCACGTGAAGAGGCAGTCCCCCTCACCCATCTCTGGTGCAGGACTCTGCAAGGCCTTCCTGACGAAAGAGCAGCTGTGGGGGGTTGATAAGCAGCACCTACGCTGGGCTCCATCTGGAAGCAAGCAGGAAAAATGGGCCAAAATGGAGCGAGTGGGGAGAAATGGTATGTCTGCTCCACAGATAGTTGTGGTGAACCACGAAGCACCAAGATCCTGTCCTTCATTCAGAAACCACCTGTGAGCTTCCTGCTGTATTCCAATTCTGTTACACATGCTGCTTAAATGTCTCCCTTTCTGAGAGGAATGCTGGAATGAAGCTCCCACTCTTCCCCTTCGTCCCTGCCCAGGGCCCATTGAAACAGCAGGCCACTGTTGAGAAGTGTCTGTTGCAGTCATTCTCATACCCACACAGGCGCTGCCCCCGCCCACCCACGGTGGCTGCTAGGCCTATCAATGGGTCTTGTGTCCATTCAGCCCACTGGTCAGGCCCACAGGCACTGGCAGGCTGAGGGTTCCCTCCGCTTTCACAGAGCAGTCAAGCGCTACAGATAAAGAGGCTGCAAACAGGAGCCATGGCCAGGTTGCTGATGCCTGTGCCCTTGCAGGGTAGATCCTGTCCTTGCAGGTTTCAAAGCTGGAGAGTTCTGGGTCCTACATGATCCTAGGGCGATGCTGGTTTCAGGCCCCTTATCTTGGTTCTTGAATTTCATCCTTTCAAGATGACCTTGAGAGCTTTAAGTTCATCCTGGTTGAGGGGGGTCAGGTTAAAACCCTTCAGCTCCGGTTTGCCTAAGGAGAGAAGACAATCCATCAGTGCATTCAGGCCTCCTGTTGTCCAACCTCCTGGCCCCGGCGTCAGGCCTGGGAAAGGAGCTCACACTGCATTCATACTGCCAGACACCTGGCTGTGAGGTCTGACAGGGAAGGGCCTCAAATCTACAATATACTGAACAATGAACATTGACACCCACTACTGAGTCTCAAGAACCTGCAGAATTACGACTCTGCTGGCCAGAAACCTCCACATTTCTGCCATACCTATGCCAGATGTGGGTGGTAAGGTTTACCTAGGAATTTAGCTTCTGAGTCAGAGCTGTCCTGGTCGCCACACCAAGCCCTGGCATAAAATGTAAGATAGCTCAGGCCATTCCTGAACTTGGAAAGAATTTGTGATAGAAGACCCCACAAACTTCCTTGTCAATTCAATCTCGGGATGGCTAGAGACAGCCACTGTCCCCTGCCCCCTGCCCCCAGCTTCAGTGCCACTCACATGCTGCCCAGGTCATTGCCCTCCTGGGAGGGGCTTCCCATCCTCTAAGTCCATGTTGATGGTTTTGTCCCCTCTGGTTTCCTCCCCCTTCTCCACCTCCTAGGCTAATACCTTGGGCCTCAAAGAGGCGGTTGACCTTCATTTTAAGTTGTTTCCGAAGTCTCTCTATTTCTTTATCCAGATGATCCTGATCTGAAAAATGAGATGGGCAAATAGAATGAGGTTATACTACAGACAGAATGACCAAAAGCAGTCGGGGGTGCCAGCCTCTCCCTAGCCCCTTTGAGAGCAAGGGCTCTTAGCATTCCGGAAGGAAAAGGGGACTTCAGAAACTAATTGAGGAAGGAACCAAAGGCTAGAGAAGCAACGTGACCTGCCCACAACCACTGAGTGAGCCCTGGGATCGGGCTGAGCAGACCAGTCCCCTGACTCTCAATCTCCTGGCCTGTTTTCACTATGCAAATACCTTGGGCTAATTGGTGCATCAGGAAGGCAACATCAGGATTTTAGGTCACCCTTCCACAGTGAAATTAGAGAAAATTCAACTGAAAAAATAAAATGGAGAACCTATAGCAGACCTACCCTACGATGACTGGAAAATGGGTGGCTAAGGGATTTTATAAACCCAAGTCCATTAAGGGGTTTTTAGAAAAGCATGATTGTGGTAACATGTGACCTAAACTACCTAACTATCAATGGACAAGCTGAATGCTCAAGCTTAACCTACTTAGCCTCGGTGGATAGAAAAGGTTATCTTCCCTTAACAGACTGCACCTGAAAGCAAACTGCACTATGAGAATGGAAGCTACAAAGCTCAACTTGAGATGATACATCTGGCTGTCACTCAATCCTCTCCACCGGCTGTTTTCACCTGCTCATAGGAACATTCGAGCGAGTTTGTCTTCCCCACAGAGTTTCATTCTTTCTGATGAGAAGCCCCTGATCAGCTGGGCCTCTGGTCTGGGCAATGGTTCTACTCAATCTTTTAAAATGGGTTGCTCGCCCGACTGGTGTAGCTCAGTGGGTGGGAGTCAACACAGGAATTAAGAGGTTCAATTCCTTAGATTCCCGGGTTGTGGGCTCAATCCCCAGTGGGGGTGGTGCAGGAGGCAGCCAAGAGATGATGTTTCTCTCATTCTATTCCCTCTCCCTGCCTCTCTCTCTCTCAAAAAAAAAAAAAAAATCAGTAAAAACATATTAAAAATAAAATGGGTTGCTCAATGTAAATGAGTAACCCTACTCTTACAAGCTTGCTCAACCTGTGTCAATCACCGAGAACTATAGATAATGATGTCCCAGAACCCCTCTCGGTACAGGAACATGACCACATTTATGGGCCAAGACAGCTGGAGATCAGATCCTGAACCCAGGCAAGCGACCCCCTCTGAAAGCATCCTCCAGCCTACCACCCGAGTGCAATGACAACTCAATTTTATAACCGTAATGCGTATGGTTTTTCACAGGACAACCAGAAACTTCTATTCCAAGCTAATCCTTTGCTAGAATTTTTATTTCAACAGGGATAGAGGCACCCTGTCTTCAGAGACAGAGGCAACCTTGCTGGTCCTCTTAACCTATACATTTTCAAGGGTAGAAAAGAGGAAATATGTGTAACCTGCCCTTTTCCCAGCCAAGGATGCATTTGCAACCTGACTTTTTACCTTTATGATGCATCTCCAAAGAGCTTTGGAAATTGTGGTCATCCATATTTGAGAAACATCTATTTAGTTGCCAACCCTAAGGTTCACTCTCCCCAAACCCCCATTTTCAACACAGGCTCGCTTGTAGGGGATGTGAAAAATAAAAGTTCACGATGCCAGGCTCCCTTGTGTCTGTGGGGGCCATGTAACTTAGTTCTGGCCATAGAGATGCCAGCAGAAGGCCCTGAGGAGGACAGCCTAATTTCCATAACAGAAGGCAAGGCCATATCAGGGGTGGGAAACCTGTTTTCTGCCAAGGGCCATTTGGATATTTATAACATCATTCTTGCACTATAACAAAATTATCATGCCGAAACCGGTTTGGCTCAGTGGAT